CAATTTCTTTCTTTCTTTCCCTTCTCCGCCTCCTCTAATCTTTCCCCTGGTTTTTTTTTTTTTGGTTTTTTTTTTTAAAGAAAAAAATTATTTATTTATTTTAACCGGAGATCCCGAGCCCACGTGCCCGGCAGGCCCCCTCCGGATTGGACGGCTGTCTTTTAGGGTGACGTCACGCGCGCCCACCCGGCCTGAAGACAAAAAAAAAAAAACTTGATCGCTCCTCGGTTTGATTAAAACAGACATTGAATTAATTACAGCGCTGATCCGACTGTTAACAGGCAATTGCGGGCTCTGTTTGCTATCATTACATCGCTGATGAAGTTTTAAATGGGGTTATTAGCTATACGGGGTGGGAACGAGGGGGGGAGAAAATGAAGGAGAGGAGGAACTGCTTTGGGAGGGGGGTCTGCTTGAAAACGGGGGGGGGGAGTTTTAAGCCACCCGTGTTTAGTTCTCTGAAAAGCGGGATTTATTTTCTCTCTTAGCCCTGCCGGACGAAAGGTAGATGGTTAAAAAAGCCTTAAAGGACTCTGAGGCTAAACTTCTTTATAATTTTAATTTTTTTTAAAAAAAAAAAAAAGAAGAAGATACGAAGGAGAGAAAAGCGCTGGGAAGACCAGCGAAGATTAAAATCGCCAGAAAGTAAACTGTGAAATTGTTCTAGCAAAGAGCATTTCATTGATCTCCTCCGGATACAAACGCTCACCCTCTCTTCCACACCCAGCCTTTACCTTTATTTATCTTCTTTAAGAAAAATCATGACTTCTCTGAATTGTAAAGCCCTTTCCCTTCTTTTAGAAAAAGCCTCTTTGTCGACTTGCAAACCATTTCAGAGGAAATTTAATGTGAAATTGGTCGCCTCCAAGTTTCACCGAAGGACATTTTACACAACAATTAAACAGCACATGAACTCATGATCCAGAATAAAAAATACTTGTGCGGTAGGGCATCTAACGAAGCATCACCTCCCCTCTCGCTTGTACTGGGATAGCAACATTTCAAAAGGGATCTTTCAAGGCAGGTAAACCCTGCATTCAACCCCAGTGCTGAATATCTAAAGGCGACCCACATCAATTTGATTTCTCCACTCGAATTTTGGGCATAGTGATCTGTCGGTTGCAGCGCATTGAGACCAGCGTGACTTTTCCATCTGAAGGTGAAAAATGTAAAGCCCCCTCATTAAAGAAGGCGTCTCCAGTCCGAGACCCCATAAAAAGGCTGATTTTGGCTCTGAGGGTTTTCAACGACCTGAAACCAGTAGCGCAATGAAAGAGAGGTTTTACTCACGAGTAAATGGAAGAGAAGGAAAGGAAAGAAGGAAAAAGTCAGCTTTATGTTATATTTCCCAAGGAACAAGCGTGGGAAGATAGATAGATGATAGAGATAGAGTAGATAGATAGAGATAGAGATGATAATAGATAGATAGATAGATAGATAGATAGATAGATAGATAGATAGATAGATAGATAGAGATAGAGATGATAATAGAGATAGAGATGATGATGATAGATAGATATAGAGTAGAGATATGATAATAGATATAGAGATGATTAGATAGATAGATAGATAGATAGATAGATAGATAGATAGATAGATAGATAGATAGATAGAGATAGAGAGAGTAGATAGAGATAGAGAGAGTAGATAGATAGAGATAGAGATGATAATAGAGATAATGATGATAGATAGAGATAGATAGATAGATAGATAGATAGATAGATAGATAGATAGATAGAGTAGATAGAGATGATAATAGATATAGCGATGTAGATAGGTAGGTAGGTAGGTAGATAGATAGATAGATAGATAGATAGATAGATAGATAGATAGATAGATAGATAGATAGATAGATAGATAGATAGATAGATAGATAGATATAATTTCAAGAAAGGTCACCACCTTAAAAACCTGGACAATGAATACTTTCTAGGTCTTCAGGTGTTTAAACTTTGACAAAGAAATAATACTCAGAGTAGCGAGAAAAGGGAAAAAAAGGGGGGAAAGACTCCTGGAGCTGGGCAGGCATAAAAGAATTGAAATAATAATAAGGTGGGCAAAAATGCCCAATCCATTCTAAATATCTGGATGAGTGGGTGTCCAACTATATTAATAATAATAATAATAATTGAAAAGGCAAAATACTGGATGGGGAAAGGAGATTCAGGGTGATTTCCCGCAGGCTTCAGCCCCAAATCGTTCCCTTTTTTGAAAGAAAGAAAGAAAGAAAGAAAGAAAGAAAGAAAGAAAGAAAGAAAGAAAGAAAGAAAGAAAACCGGCAGATTTTCATCCAATTCTTTTCATCCAATCCTCCCTACGCACAACAACGACACACTTGCCAAACATGCACCTGAAGCAAAAGGGCCGGTTTTTAGGAGCCTCCGAAGTGCCCCTTCAACGTGAGGAAAAATCCCCCTGCCTTGAAGGAGTCAATCCACAACTCTGCAAGAAGAACACCAGTTGTTGTGGGGTTGTCGTTGTTATTGTAAAAAAACGCGCAGAGAAATTTGAATGAAGTGGCAGTAACAAGAGAAGACGCCTACTTAAAAATTAAGTAGTTAGGGGAAGGGTCTTTCAGCTGCTCCCTTTTTTAGGGATAGGGTATTTTATTTCCCCTCGCCCCCAGCTGCTTCTGCTGCTGCTCCACAGCTTTGTTAGAAATTGCTGTCTTTGGGAAGCCACGGCTTCATCGCACGGAAAGCCCCCAAGAGGTCCTTCCACCCACCCCCACCGTCCCACCCATGGGGATCTTTTGGTTCTGAAACACGAGAAACCTGTGTTGCTTGAAGCCCCTCTCTCTTCTGGGGAAGGTGGAGTAGGTAAGACTGGGAAGGAAGGCAGAGGGGAAAGGAAGAAGAGAGGAAGGGAGGAGAGGAGGAAGGAAGGAAGGAAGGAAGGAAGGAAGGAAGGAAGGAAGGAAGGAAGGAAGAGAAAAATACAGGAGATTCAAAGAGAGGAAGGGAAAGATTATGGCAGTGAATGAGAGAAAGAAGGATGGGAGGGAGGGAGGGAGGATGAAAAGAGGGAAAATGTGGAAGATCAAAAGAGAAAGATTATGAGTGAATGAGAAGAAGAATGATAGGAGGGAGGGAGGGAGGGAGGGAGGGAGGAAGGAAGGAAGGAAGGAAGGAAGGAAGGAAGGAAGGAAGGAAGGAAGGTGAAATACTGTAAGTAGTTCTAGATTAACCTGGACAGCTGTGATCATTACTGTCTTGTTGGAATTATTTTCCTTCCTTCCTTCCTTCCTCCCTCCCTCCTTCCCTCGCTCCTTCCTTCCTTCCTTCCTTCCTTCCTTCCTTCCTTCCTTCCTTCCTTCCTTCCTTCTTTCCTCTCTCTCCCCTTCTCATTTCCTTTCTTCTACTATCTCCCCATCCTTTTTTCCTTCTCCTTCATTCCTGCCCCTCCTCTTTCCCTGCCTTTTCCTGTCCCTCTCTTCTCCTTCTCTT